CCCTCTCCCCACACTGGTCCTCTCCTGCTCTCAGACAACACAGACAACACAACCCAGCTTACAAGTCAGTGACCGTCAAACTTAAAACAACCCTCCATACAGAGTCACGATGAAAGACACAGGTCGAAGCTTGAAAAAGCAGCAATGCAGAGCCCCGCGAGTGGCAAGGCTCCAACAACATTCAAGCAAACGGTCCAAGGCTCCAACGCAGTCGCACTTCACAAACAAGCGAAGCACTCGCCACAGTTATCGACAATGAGGCATTAAAAATTCTCATTGAAAAAAACAAGGTGCAAGGGGAAATTGTAATTAGAAAACACAAGAACGTGGAAGGCAAGGAGGAGGAAACAGTGATTTGGAAATACCCAGTTGGCAAAGCCCCAGAGCTTGGCGAGTTCCACGAAAAACATGCAGTTGTATTCAACTTTGCCAGAAGTGGGGCAGATCTGATGCCAGCGGAAAAGCGGCAATGGATCACTGCAACAATCAATAAGGAAGACAAACTAATAACTGCAAAGGATTCCTTTTCCTTGATGAGCCTGGGCCGCACAACTGTGCTGGTGATCTTCAATTCTGAAGATCACGCACAAATGGCCGCTGATATGAAATCCAGGAACTGTAACGACTAAATTTGCACGATCTCCCCGTGCAAAAAGCAGACGAATACAAGGCCCAACCCATCCTTTTCAGTCTCGTATAAGCAAACTCTGCTGAAAGAAACATTTTGGGTACAATTGGACAGGATTGAGCCGGGTTACCACGGGCTGGTGGTGGACAGATTCGAGAGACAGTATCCGGCCAATAAAATCCTTAAATGGCTAGGCTGAACCCCGGGCCGCCCGGCGGCCTGGTCGTCGCCCGGGGGGGGGGGGCGGGCCGCCTGGCCGTTGTTCCGCCCGGTTGGCCATTGGGCGACCCCAGCGCATCCCTGAAGGGGGGGGGGTTCTGGCCGTTTTCGACGCGGGGCGCCTTCTTCCCCCCAAAGGAGGCCGTGGAGGCCCAGAACGCAGAAAAAAAAGGCCGGTAGGCCCGATTTCAACAATTTGAAATCGGGGCCCATCTGCGCCGTCGATCTCCAGGAT